GAGTACTCACTTCAACCTCGGGAGAGTCAGGAGGAGGAACCACCCGACCATCAATCACCTGGGACAGAACCCCGGTTCCTTCAGTATTTAACCCTGGTTCCTTCAGTGTTTAACCCCGGGTTCAGCACAGACAGTTGATTCACGACAGATTCAAAGCCGTTCGCCAAGGTGTCAATGTAGTCCGACTCTAGGATTTAAATCCGAGCAATAAAGTCGGCACGCGTGTGAAAATCAGCTACCCCCTCAAGTTCACCCTCTGGGGGCATCATAACAGCCTTCAAATCTGTAACCTCCTTCTCCAGCCGTTGGTTATCACTCTCCAACCGTTCCTTATCAAGTTGGAGGTAGTCTTTGTCCTCGATGGCTTTCTCGACTCTCTCCTTCTCCCCTACCAGCATGTCGGCCTGCTCGCGAAACATTTCCTCGCTTCGTTCAAGAGCGGTCTTCAACTTGTGTATCTTTGTCACAAGATCTGACTTCTCCGACTCCAGTTCCTTGACCCGATTGGAGGAGTCAGACCCTTCCCCCTCCAGAACAACGACCATTTCTGCCATCTTCACCACCCCGACCATGCTGGTAGTGAGGTGCTTCCTTCGACCTTCCTTATCAAGCCGCCTGATGATGTCAGACTCATTATCGGACACGGTCAAGGGGAAATCCTAGAAGAAGTCTTTCTCCACAAAGCATGGTGGTAGGCTGAAGGCCTGGGCAATCGCACCTCCATTCGTTACATCAGCGTGTCCACCTTCTGGACGACTCCGCTTCTTGCTCAACAACACAGCTTGCCGCTCGGCATCGCGAGAGCCCGAGGACTCACTAAATCCTTCCCTGGTCTGCTTGGGGGTTGAACCCATGCACGTAGCTTGATGAGGTTTCACCAATCTCTTGTGGCTCTTTTTCTCCCGAGTCAGCTTCAGCAATCTCTCGCAACGCTCCTTTATGTGACCTGCAAAAACAAGGAAAGTGTGTCTGGGTTAGCATCATCGAAGAAACAAAAGAAGGCAAGTAATATAGTAAAAGTAAGCAAAAAACCTAAGAGATCCACAACCTGCCCGTAAGATTGACACTCGACGAGCGCCTTAGTATTGATCATATGCGCTTTGAACTCAGATCGCCGTCTTTTTCGAGGATGTCGTAACCTTATCGCGTGACCCACCTGGCAGGGAAGAAACCATCAACAAATCGATTGAGGATGCCACATGCCTCTTCGTCTTTGGCGCTCATACTGTCGGAGGAAGTGTGGTAATATCCAGGACCGTGGTCGTAGTGGGCCGAGCACCAGTGGATGGGAAACCTCTAAATCCTCCTGATCTCTGGATTACCCTCGGCGTCACAGATCGGCTCTCCATCCTCATCCACGACGGAAGCAGGTTTGAACAGGGAATCCAAGGTTGTTTGAGAAGAGGGTTGCAAGATGTACCACTTATCCTTAAAATCACGGACAAAATCCATATACATCCTGAACAACCTCTTAGACTGTTTAAGGGATACCCAACTATATTTCCCTCCCCGAGACTGTCGTTGTAGGTGAAAAACCCTGAAGAAAAAGGGAATGATCGCCTCGATTCTCAAGAACCGACATGTAAGTTTGAATGCTTGAATAAAAGCAATACCGTTGGGATGAAGCTGAGAGGGTGTCAAGTTCAAGTGATTGAACACCCCCATTTGTAAGTCATTGAAGGGAAGTCAAAGTCTCAGGTCTTTAAACACGACTTCGTACATAGGGAAGGCATCTTGGGTTAACTCCAAGCATATGCGAGCATCTTGCGTTGGCCTCATGACTTTGAAATTTCTTTGAAAACCCTCCTAGCCGCCATACTCGACGACTGTATAGGCTTGCCTTCTGGTGTGACTATAGATCGAGGCTATCCCTCGGGGTTCCGCACCAACCCAATCCAAAGTAGGATCATCAACTGTGTCGACCAAATTGATGCTCTCCTCGACTCACTGGTTCCTTCGGTGTCCACATGCTCCAATGAATCGGGAGTGTCGGCCATTTACCTGCAAAGCATAGGAAACCAGTGAATTCGACAGCAAATCCAAATCCACCTTTCCACGACGCAGATGAAGAGGCTAAGCAACGCCCAAACCAAGTCGAAATTCATTCGTGCAGAAAGGGGGAATACATGTCTCTCGACCGTTCCATGAAAATCTTGCCAAGTCTTATAAGATCACAACAATCGAAAGGATGAACATTTATGCGAATACACCGGGCACATGAGGAGTGAGGCGTGCAAAACATGAATTTAGCGACCAAACTCATGAATTCACTGGGGGTTGCAGCAATTTTAGATGCAAAACCTATGATTTTCACGGGGACATAGGGAGACCATGGGGAAGATTCATCTAAGTACCGGTGTGAAGATGGATCTCCCGGGCATAATCACGAATTATACGCCTAAACACATGGATCCCCCGGGAAAAACCCCCAGTTATGAAGTTCTACTACTAAAACAGCATCAAAACCTATCTATATACAGTGCATCACAGAAAAGGTACTTACTTGAAGAAGGATAGATGAAGAACAACGATGCTGGATAAAGAACAAGTGGTAGATGAAAGATACACGGCGGGTTGCGCGGTGGCGTCAGCAATCACAGAGGAAGACACAACGCTAGCAGCAGGGAGAATGGAGAGCGCGAAAATATGAAAGTAAATTATTATCCTTGGAGCCCTATTTATAGAGTTGACGTGGAATGTGAAATGTCGCGTCGGTAAGCTCATAAGCCATCTTTCTCCTCGACACCTACACGCTTAGTCAATGATGATCCCTATTTCCTAGGCCATCATTGCTATCCCAAAGGTCACGCCACGTGTCTGACAAATGCACTACCTCCTCCCTGCGAGTCGAGTAACAATTAGAACGAAGCCACCTCGAATCCTTGTCGAACTACACTCGAGTAAACAATGTACCAACGATACTCTCTATCATTTAATGAAAGCCCCGCGTCGAGCAGCGCACCTCGCGAAAGAACAAGCTGGACATTAAGTCATAACTCCATCAGGAGCAACGACTTGGGGGGCTCCTATTCTGGATTGGGCCTGCCCTTGGCCCAACTCCATGTGAGGCCCAATCTAATTGTATTGTCCAAGACATGTTGGTCGATTCTGCCCTTGATATAGACGGGTAGCAACTACTCCCCGCGAGGAGACCCAACTCACAGCATGGGGAGAAACCCAGTTATTCTCAGGAGGATTATTGCTTGTCAGGAGGACCTCGAGGTCTCGCTCCAATCCTTCCCTCGACCATAAAGGTCCTATCACACGACCTCACAGTCAGTAGGAGCATCCATGACAAGCAGAAGCACCTCGCGAGTATCTTCCTCGTAGGGATGACTATCAACATCTCCGAACATCACGAGTCTTCGTGGTCCTGGAAAGATCGCATCCATATCCACCGGATCTTGCAGAACAAGTCATCCAGGTAGGGGATCACATGCAGATCCTCACTACTCACGTAGTACCTGGTAGTCTTCACGTTGGGCCTGCTTAACCAGCCCAATGGGGAGACCTTGGTCCAGCATTGGAGGCTATAAATATCCTCTCTTACGAGAGGATCAGGTATTGAACATCTCTTACTCACATACTTGTTCGTTCATTCCGGAACTTACTTTGGCATCAGAGTGTCTTGTAGGTACCTCCCCCCACCTCACTATCAACTTCTGCTCGAACTATTTGTGACGGTTCATTCTGATCAGATACGATCAAATAATAATAATAATAATAATAATATTTACGTTTGCCTGCCTTGAAATTTGGAGCATATGGATAAAGGTCTTGCAATGGATTCAAGTTCAGCACCTGCCAATAAATTAGAAGGAGGAATTAGAGTGGTTGGTTTAAAAGTGTAAAGATAAAGGTTGGAGAAACACGATTCTCAAGTAGTGTGTTGAAACTGAAATGATTGATAACATTTCGAGGTAGAGAAATGAGAAAGTATATGGAAAAGATGTTAACAAGAATAAGATTGACATAGATATAATATACACTATTATATATAAGAGATGGGTTAACAAGAATATTAGAAAACAGTTAGCCAATGTTATGATACAGTGGCTTTTCGTATTTTATTTTATGGTTGTTTTGATTTTGAGACGAGATCGCCTTTTATATTATATTTTTTTGAATTAATATATCTTTTGATTCAAATATAATAATAACAATAATAATAAGTAGTTTTGGAAAATTGAAAATATACAAAAAAATCGTTTAAAATAAAATAAAATATTCAATGAATGTAATCAAAATAATATATTTTTAATATATTTATAGCACTTTTCAGGTATATACTTTACAAAAAATTGTTTTCTTAATTAAAAAACAATGTCTTGTTTTTAGAAAATACATAAAAAATACTACTATTTTCAAAATTTATTAATTTATTTAAAATATATAATAATTTATATTTAATATTTAAATTAATTGTTTATATATTTGAATGATTTAAGGGAATAAATGATGGTTATTGGTTGACCCTGAAAAATTAATTTATCTATCATCATCCATTTCCTCTATTTTTATTTCAAAATTAAAATTATTTTAATCATATATAGTTATATATGTGCCAATACATACACTTATTTTAATCATTGATAAAAGATAAACCCTAATCCCCATAAAGATATCTAGAGGCAATAAATATGACCGAAACGGCACCGGATAGTTTTCAATTTAGCTTCGTTATGAAGTTAATTATCGCGCCCAAGACATTTGATATTTAGCCCTAAATTTCAGTAGGCAGAATATGCAAAGAACAATATTTGCCACTGACATATACTCATATAATAATCGCATCCCATTCTGTTCTTTGTCAATATCTTCTTTCTTTTCTTAATTTTGTCTCTAACTAGGTGATTTCTCCAGCACGTCTTCTTGTTGAAATAAACTTCATTTATTGCCTTACACCGAACATATTACAATTTTCAATTTCAATTCTCTATTATATTTCAGGATCTGACTGCTTTTTGTTAATCTGAAGTGTTCTCAATCTGGTTTTTGGAATGAATAATTTGAGGTTTGCAGATTAAACAATTAGATCTCCAATTTGAGGGAATTTAAATAGTTTGTTTCGATTTTCTAATTTTTCTAGGTTTTAATTATCTTGTGTTTGCATTAAAAAAAATTAATCAAATTCTGCTGATCTTGTGTTTTTTTTTACTGAAGATCTGGCCGACGTGTTATGGATCAGTGTACTAAAAATGCAGTAGAATTTTTAAAAGAAATAAAGGGTAGATTAACTCAAGATAAGTATGATAAGTTTGTGAAAGCGTTCAAGGATTATAGGGCACAAAGGTTTGATCATGTGGTTCCCAAATTTTATTTCTTTGTTAATATTGTGAAAGGGATTCCAATTAATTGTTGATCCTAAATCCTAATTTTATTTCTTTGGTACATTTGTAGGATTGAGGTTTTTGATCTTATGGATAAAATGAAGAAAATATTCGAAGGTCAAAGAGATTTGATATTGAGATTAAACAACTTTATGCCAATTGGATATGAAGTCGAACTTCCATTGGAAGATGAACAATCTCTGCCAAAGAAGCATGTCAAATTGGAAGATGCTACACGTTTTTTGAATAAGATAAAGGTATGAGTCTTGTTTGAGTTTTATACACTCTTCATCAAGATTTATTATTAACGTGTGATTATTTTTTTTAGGCTCAGTTCCATGGAGTTGATTATCACACTTACACGTCATTTATGAAGATATTAATCATGTACTATAAGAAAAATAAGTCTTTCGCTATGGTCTGCAAAGAGGTATTTTTGTTGAATTTAATTATGCCTTTGAATCATGTTATAGTCATCATATTCCTTTGTTTTTTTTTTTTTTGATAATTTATTCCTTTTTTTTGTTGTTAATTTCACATAAGTCTATTTATTTAAATGCTTGATTTGTCATAATTGAACCTCTGCAGGTTACTACACTTTTGCAAGGCCATCCTGACCTTCTTGATGAGTTTTATCATTTTCTTCCAAAGGCTATTTCTGGTCATTATGTTGCTGCTAGGAATGTTGTGCGTCGAGATATATAGGAGATCTCAATACTAAATTTGTGGTAGATTTTTTTTTATAATAAATTTTGGTGAATTTAATAAAGTATAAGGAATGGATTTTAGTTATGAGGAGATAATTGAAACTTTATTGGAAAAATCCAATGTTATAGATTTGTAAGGTTTGAAAAACAATTCAATAAATTTCGTCCTTAGATAATTTGGAATAAAAACTCGGTACTTTATTTATGAGATTTAAAGACAAATTGACGGAGGGTTTTAATGCAACCAGGACAATTGAATGAATATATTTACCATGATCTATAACATTAGCATGCTTTTTTTTTTCAAATCCATGTGTGACTTTAGCAGGCAATACAATGCACAGGTTGACACAACAGTCATTCATTCATTTGCATTGCATGTTAAGAGATTGTGAGCATTTCAACTGCTCTAACCGGTTAACACGGGGTGTAACCGGTTACAGTTATAAAAAATAAGTTAATAAATTGAAGAAAAAATATTTTTGGAGTTAGTGTAACCAATTATGTATTTGTAGTAATCGACTACGGCTGTTAGTTAATTTATGTTATTTAGCTGTTGTAACCGATTACAGGTTTTGTGTAATCAGTTATGTTACAAGTCTGAGTTTTTTCTTTTTCACTTATTTTATTTGATGTTTTGTATCCCAATCACTTGTATATATAAAGACCATGGCTGTCAACTTCATATCATGCGTCAGAAGCATAACACACCACTTGAATTCGCAATTGTCTAAAAGCATAACACACCACTTGATCATTATGCATCAACACACCACCTAAACTCATATTCAAAGCATCACAATATACTACAAATGACTCGTTCGGATTTTGCAAGATCAAAATTGGGGCAGTATCTTAAGTTCTATAAGACTCTCTTCACAATGCACACTCCACACAAAAGCTTGACCATTTCGAGACAACTGAGTCAAATGCAACACCAACTTAGAGAAGCCTTCAATGAACCTCCTGTAATAACCAGTCAATCCCAGAATACTGCTAATTTTGGTAACAGACTTCGACGCCTCCCACTGCATTACAAAGTCGACCTTCAACGGGTGATCGCGACTTTATCGTCTAGATTAATCGGGAGACTGCAAGTATACAGCCCTATCGCGTAGTTTTAAAAGATATCGAACCTAAGGGACTATAAATCGAACTAACGTAACCTAAACTACTGTGTAAAGCTATAGCCATCGAATAATTAATTAGGGGGATTTTTGGGTAATAAAACTTAATTCTAATTGAAATAATAATAATGCGAATATCGGTATGTACTTCGTTAACACTAAAGAATCCGGCTTTCCACTGGCTTATTTTCTAAAAAATGATAATAATATCTTTTTCAGCAAAAAGTATTTATTCAAAAATCTATTCTCAAACTTTCGCTCTATTGAAGTAAATTATAATTTTAAACTCTGATGTATGCTTTCGCTATCCCATTGATTTTAAAATTACTTTTTGAAAATAAATAAAGTTTAATTAGTTTTAAAACGCTGTCGTAGTCTTTAAAAACAATACCTAGTATCTACTATCTGATTTTAAACCTCAAACTGTTGCTCTATTGGTTTCTAATCTTAGTCAGTTTATTAGCCTCAAACTTTCGCTCTGTTGGTTTCTAAACCTTTTTTAACAAAATAAATTAGATAACTAAATCAGAAAAAGTGTTTATTTTATAAAATATAATCAAGCCTGTTTGTTCCGGATCTATTCAAATTAACTCGTTACATACCGATATTTAAATAATTTAGCCAGACATACTCATAAAAGCAGACATGAATACATTAAAGGAATTAACATTCGTAAATAAATTCATGGCTAAATAAATATCTCTCATGCAAATAATTAATAAAATAAATTAAAGCGATGTAAATAAGAAACCTGAATTAAATAAATGCTGGAAATAATTCTTGAAGCTTGAATCAATTCGTACAAAATCCCGGTTCTTCAACAGAAATAAAATTTAAGTATTTGAAAAGGAACTGGCTGGAAAATAACTGCTGGAAACTGAATTACAATGGAAAATAATAATGCGGGAAGGTAAATTCTGAAACTGGAAAATAAATGCTAAAAACGGCCCCCTGATTTTGATTTCCTGATGTCCTTTTATAGTGGTAGAATGTAACCACGTTTTGAGATATTTTCGTACCACTTTTCCCCAAATTTCTCGTTCTAACTGCTTTGAGTGGAGGTGGTCGTCCCGAGATTTACTCATCCACTTGACCACGTTGAGACGGGCGCCTCATGTATCATCCTAGGGCCTACGTGGCAGTTGAGACGGACGCCTCCCACTAAGGGGAGGGTCCGAGGCGGGCGCCTCAATTGTAGGAGAGGAGTTGAGACGTGCATCTCACTCTTGCACGTGCCTTTAGGGCTCTCTTGCTTGCGTGGGCCTGATTTCGTTTGGGCCCAGTTTGGAGATAATAAACCTTTTGATCCATCATTTTTGCTTTGCACACCCCTTTTCTTCATTTCTTGCATATTTAGTCCAATAACTCTCTTAATTTCTTCACTTTGCTCAATTTGTCTAATTAAAATAAAATACCTGAAACAATAAAAATACCGGCGTAATATGGAAATAAAATGAAATAATTAAATAAAAATACTAACATTATTTATGAAAATTAAATCAAATATACTATATAAAATTGTGTTATCAAACTCCCCTATACTTGAACCGTTGCTTGTCCTCAAGCAAAAGTAAAAAAAAAAAAAAATGAAAATCACTGACGCACAGTTAAACACAGATATAAGAACATACATCACTTCGTACCAGGTTGCAAGTTGAATTTTTCGTTAGAGAATTTAAGTCGAACTTAAACACCAAAGTTACCGTAGGAACACTGGACAACCCCATTTAAGCAGACCAATTTAAGTCATGTCATTATAGCTTAACCTAATACTACGTTTTATTTCACCCGTTTTCATTCTAGTGCAATCACATTAAGCCCTTTACCTTACACGCACATAGTGGAGTAACTGGTTAGTGAATTTGATCTTAGTAAGCCAGCTAGGAGTTCTGGTAATTTAATCATATGGTACTCCCTTTTTCCAATTAAAAATTGCGGGGGATCGAACCGTAATTCGCCCTACCAAGTTCAGCACCAGGGACCACTGAACCAATTTATAATGGATTATTTTGCATTTAAATTTATAGTTTCTGCAACTGTTGGATTAAATGATCTGGTAAGGACCATCTAACTTAATAAGTGCATCTTCAGATAAAAGCAATTTCTTAAGAATATTTGATCAATCACTTATATTCATCAGCTCTCCACGTAGTTTGTGTTTATGGCGGTGCCGACTGCTTAATAAACTACTCGAGGCTAATCTAAAACTAAGTTTTAAAGGTTTTGGTATAATAAGTACTTAAATCGATCCAACACATCGGGGGTTTTGAAGTGTTAAGACGATAGCAATTTTGCTAAGTTGCTCTGTGATACGGTGGGAGAACTGACTAGGGTTTTGCGTTTGTTTTCGCAAATGTTTCGGTTGAGCAAGAGTCGCCACCGACTTTTTATTTTATCCTAAGGAAAGGTTTAAAAAGCACAGCAAAAACCTTTGAGATTTTTCTTGGGTTCGGGGAGTAGATTATAGAAAGGGAAGGTATTAACACCCTTTCTATCCATGGTTATCCATGGGCTCTTAGGTACTTACTTAGATCAACTTGCCTTGGTTTTCAATTGTTTGAAATGGTGCTTGATGTGTGGTTTTGAAAATGTTTTGAAAAGATGCCTTGTATAGGCTACCCTTGTAACAATTCTTTACTCGAATATTTTACAAAAGGTGTTTGGTCTTTTAAAAAGATGTTTCAAGGTTTTTGAAAGTTTGTTTTGAAAGTGTTTGTGAAGTTTGTTTTGAAAATAGGCAAGTGTTTTCTTTGCAAATTGGCAAGTACTTAAGAGTTTATCTACCCTAAAGTTTTCTCAAAGATTTTTGTTATGTTTTAAACCTTTTGACAATTTTGTTCCACCATTGCATTTGGTAGACAATCTTGTCTTAGGAGGTGGAAGGGACGGGCGCGAGTCATCGTTTAAACCATAATTGCAATAGTGTTAAATGTCTTTGGGCAATTTCTTTAAAAGGGACTTGATCATTCATTTAGGCAACATTTTGAGGGACTATGATCATTTGATTGTTTGTTCTACCCAAAGAAATTCAACATTCAATATGGCCCAATTTATTTGAAGACAACAAAGTGGAATACCCTAGGGGTGCAAGTGTGAGATATATTGTCCATTTTCCATGCTTTTTTTGTCTTGTATTAGGTCAAACTACTTTTGTTCGTTTTATTCGCATACAAACCCTAATTCTAGCATAGTATGTTTAGAAAGCATTAAAGTGCGAAATTTAAATTCCTACACTATTACAACACAATAATATGGGGAGGGGGTACAATGTTTCAAATGGGGTATATTTAGACAAGAATTTAAACCTAACTATTACATCATTTTCTTTGAATATTTACAAGACAAATAATTGTATAATTAAATGGAAATTGAAATAAATATGCAAAATGTAAAAAGAATTTTTATGTGTATGGGAAAAAGAATATTATTTATGTGAAAATAAAAAGAGAAATAAAAAGGTATTATTTTTGGAGTATTTTCAAATTTAGGGCAAAACCCTAATTTTTAACCAAAATGGTATTAGTTATTTAATATTTGTAATATTTACTATTTATATACAAAAAATAAGATAAAAATATAATATACTTATAAAAATGTATTTTCAATGTTAAATATTAATAAAAATAAAAATATATATATTTTGGTATTTTATTCCAAGTATGTTAATGTATAAGTATATTTATTTACATTATTTACAAAATATGTATTATATTAGTAATTTTTAATATTTAATAATAATAATAATAATAAAAAAAAGTATTTTTTCTATAAACTATTTTCAGAAAGTAGAATCAAAATAAAAGTGTGTAAAATGTATTTCCAATATTTAATATTTTAAAAAAAACATATATATTTATTTATTTATGTTCAA